TGACACATATTTTTTATTGTGGGAAGGGGTTTTTTGGGTTTTTGTTTGGTAGGGGATGGGGGTTGCCCTGTTTGGTGTTCTTTCAGGCATTAATGGGAATTCTCATAAAAAAGGACCCTATAGGCAAATACATTTGGAAAGTGCTGCATGTCATTTCTTAGCCTTCGATATTCACAAGACATTTTGGCATGTGTTTTTAATGCCCCAGTATTTTATACTTATTCTATACCTAAATAGATGATAGATACAGGAGTAGATGTAGATATAGGTATTAGGATTTCTCTCTTAGTCTTTTTGGGAATAGAAGTCAGCATGTATCTTATAGTCAGTAAATGCTAGCTATTAATTTATATTAAATCATCATTGAATAACAAATATTATGCAACCCATTTTTTAAAAAAAAAGAAACCAAGATAAAAATATTAATAGCCATCAAATTTTACCAGCTCACAGCATTTTCACCATCTCTTTCAATATTCACCATTAGTATAATGACGCCATGATTACTATTACTACAGGTATAAGTGACCTGAATAACTATAATAATATTAGTATGTGTAGTAACAGCAAATGAATTTGAATATTAGTTTTCTCATAGGACAACCATAAAAATCTGATCTGCATGAAGTTCATGATTTTTTAAAGAATAAAAATTTGGGGCCGGGCATGGTGGCTCACACCTGAAATCCCAGCACTGTGGGAGGCTGAGGCAGGTGAATCACCTGAGGTCAGGAGTTCGAGACCAGCCTGGCCAACATGGTTAAACCCTGTCTCTACTAAAAATACAAAAATTAGATGGAGGTAGTGGCAGGCACCTGTATTCCCAGCTACTTGAGAGGCTGAGGCAGGAGAATCACTTGAACCCAGGAGGCAGAGGTTGCAGTGAGCCAGGATTGCACTACTGCACTCCAGCCTGGGTGACAGAACAAGACTCTATCTCAAATAAATAAATAAATAAATAAAGTTTTGGTTAGGCGCAGTGGCTCATGTCTGTAATCCCAACACTTTGGGAGGCCAAGGTGGGAGGATCACTAGAGCCTAGGAGTTTGAGACCAGCCTGCATAATATAGGGAGATCTGTCTCTAGAAAAAAAAAAAAAAAAGATTGGCCGGGCATAGTGGCACATGCCTGTAGTCGCAGCTACCCAGGAGGCTGAGGTGGGAGAACTGCTTGAGCACGGGAGGGAAAGGGTGTAGTGAGCTGTGATTGTGCCACTGCACTCCAGCCTGGGTGACATAGCAAGATCCTGTCTCAAAAAAAAAAAAATTGGCAAGATGGAAACAGGGAGATAAGATAGAAAAGAAGTGTATTTATCCAAGAAAGATTTTGCTGCATGTCACAAAGACCAACTATATGTGGTTAGAGAGCTGGGGCTTTGAGCCATCTGATATCACAGGAGAAGGAAGCTGGAGCCAATGATCCAATCAATCATCCCTATGTAATGAAAGCCCAATTAAAACTCTGACAACAAAGAAGCTTCAGTGAGCTTCCCTGGTTGGTGATACTTTTGAGTGTTGTCACACAATGATGTACTGGACAGAAGTAGTGATGTCTAGGTCTCCACTGAGAGAGGATGACTAGAAGCCTCACATTTCAGCTCCTCCCAGACCTCATCCTATGCATCTCTCCTTTTGGTTGGTTCTGATTTGTATCCTTTTGCTATAATAAAATTGTAGCTATAAGTACAGGCGTACACTGTTTTATTGTGAATTGCTTTATTTTGCTACACAGATATTCTGTTTTTACAAATTGGAGGTTTGTGGCAACCCTGCACTAAATAAATCTATAGTTGCCATTTTTCCAACAGCATGTACTCACATCATGTTTCTCTGTCACATTTTGGTAGTTTTTGCAATATTTCAAACTTTTTCATCATTATTATATCAGTTATGGTGGTGTGTGCTCAGTAACCTTTGATATTATTATTGTAATTGTTTGGGGACACCACAAACCATGCCAGTATAAGACAGCGAACTTAACTGATAAATGTTGTGTGTGTTCTGACTGCTCCACCAACCAGCCATTCCCTCATCTCTCTTCCTCTTCTTGAGCCTCCCTATTCCCTGAGACATGACAATACTGAAATTAGGCCAATTAATAATCCATTGTACAATGGCCCATAAGTGTTCAAATGAAAGAAAAATCATCATCTCTCACTTTAAATCAAAAGCTAGAAATGATTAAGCTTAGTGAGCAGGCAGGTTGAAAGCCAAAACAGCCTGAAAGCAAGGTCTCTTTCACTAAATACCCAAGTTGTGAATGCAAAGGAAAAGTCCTTGAAGGAAATTGAAAGTGCTACTCCAGTGAACTCACAAATGATAAGAAAGCAAAAAAGCCTTATTGTGGATAGGGAGAAAGTTTGAGTGATCTGAATAGAAGATCAAACCAGCCACAACATTCCCATAAGCCAAATCCTGATCCACAGTAAGGCCCCAACTTTCCTCAATTCTGTGAAGGCTGATAGAGGTGAGGAAGCTGCAAAAGAAAAGTTGGAAGCTAGCAGAGGTTGGTTCATGCTATTTAAGGAAAGAAGCCATCTCCTTAACATAAAAGTGTAAGGTGAACCTGCAAGTGCTGATGTAGAAATGCAGCAAATTATCCAGATCTAGTTAAGATCACTGATGAAGGTGGCTACACTAAACAATAGATTTTTACATGGACAAAATAGCCTTCTATTGGAAGAAGATGCCATCTAGCACTTTCATGGCTAGAGAGGGGAAGTCAATGCCCACCTACAAAGCTTCAAAGGACAAGCTGACTCTCTTATGAAAGGCTAAGGAAGCTATTGACTTTACATTGAAGCCAGTGTTCACTTATCATTCCAAAAATCCTGGGACTTTTAAGAATTATGCTAAATCCACTCTACTTTGGAACAACAAAACCTGGATGACTGCAGATGTGGTAGAAATAGCAAGAGAACCAGAATTAGAAGGGGAGCCTAAAGATGTGACTGAATTGCTCCAGTCTCGTGATAAAACATGGATGGGTGAGGAGTTGCTTTTTATGGATGAGCAGAGAAAGTAGTTTCTTGAGAATCGACTCCTGGCAAAAATACTGTAAACATTGTTGAAATGACAACAAATGATTTAGAATATACAGTTCTGAAAGAATTTCTGCTCTAGGTGAAATGCTATCAAATAGCATCACATGCTATTTTGTGAGAGGAAGAGTCCATTGATGCAATAAACTTCATTGTTGTCTTATTTTAAGAAATTGTCACAGTCACTTCAGCCTTCAGCAACCACCACCCTGATCAGTCAGCAGCCATCAACATCAAGGCAAAACCCACCACCACGAAAAAGATTATAACTCGCTAAAGGCTCAGATAATTTTTAGCATGTTTTAATAATAAAATATTTTTTAAATTAAGGTATGTACATTTTTAAACATAATGCTATTATACACTTAATAGACTATGATACAGTGTAAACATAATTTTTATATGCAACAGGAAACCAAAAAAATGTGTGTGACTCACTTTATTGCAGTGAGCTGGAACCAAACCTGAAATATCTCCAAGTTATGATGGCATAGCACCTTCCTAAGTTCTGTGAGTTATTCTAACAAATAATTGAGGCTGATTGGGTGGTAGAAACCCCCAATTTCTAGGCAGCTCATCAGAAGCCAGGGTGCCCTGAGGACCCCAAGCCTGTGCCTGGTGTTTGAAATGAGAGGACTCTTATAGAGCACTATGCCCTTAACCTGTGAAGTCTCCCTAACCCTGAATAGTTTATGAGGGAAGTCATTGCAGCCACATAATGACCTAATGAGATTGGGATTATTTATTATCTCTAGTTTACAGATGAGGAACTGAGGCACTGAGGGTCACCCAGCTGCCAACTGGGTAAAGCCAGATTCCAATCCTGGCAGGTCTGGCTCCGGAGTCCACAGTTTTATCCTCTCTATGATGCTCTACCATGCAGGGGGTTGGGGAGAAAGCAAGTGTAGAACTCTTCAACATCACTTTTCTTTTTCTTTTTTTTTTTTTGAGATGGAGTCTCACTCTGTCGCCCAGGCTAGAGTGCAGTGGCACGATCTCGGCTCACTGCAACCTCTGCCTCCCGGGTTCAAGCGATTCTCCTGCCTCAGCCTCCCGAGTAGCTGGGGCTACAGACATGTGCCACCGTGCCCAGCTAATTTTTCTATTTTTAGTAGAGATGGGTTTCACCCTGTTGGCCAGGATGGTCTCGATCTCTTCACTTTGTGATCTGCCTGCCTCGGCCTCCCAAAGTGCTAGGAATATAGGCGTGAGCCAACATGCCCGGCCAACATTATTTTTCAGTCCTCAATGTTTCTCGCCTACGTCTACTTGGAGAGCAATATTTTTAGCAATTAAATTTTATTGCATCTCTACACATCATTCAACCCAAATTTTGCATTTATATTTGATCTGTTTATGTATTATTTAAATTACATCATTTCAGGTGCAACTGGTGTAAAAAGCTTTGGGGGAAATGCCATGCTTTCTGTAAGCAGACAAATTTAAAAGAGGAAAGCAAATGGGTCACAGCTTGCTAGAGACTAGTCTCCTAATCATGAGTGTGCAGTATACGCACACGTTGGATTTATGTGCAGTAAGATTTATGGTGGGAATAAAAAGCATCAGTGAAACAGGAGAAGCTAGGTTAAGAGAGGTCCTAATATGTAAGAGAAAAAGTCTGCAATGACCACGATCTTCTATTGATCCCTTCCACTAGCTCAATTCTATGACCCTGGTCTCACTTACAATGGTATTTGTTCCTTTGGTCCTTCTTTATTATCCCACTCAATAAAGCCCCTTCTCAGATTCACATTCACCCAACATTGATTGAGAGCCTGTGTTTATTTATTTATGCACCATTCCATCATCAAGCACCATAATTTGACCAATATTATGCCAGGTGCTTTCACATATATCACTTTCATCAGACCCATTTGATAAATGAGACAGGAGGTTAAGGAGCTTACTGAATTCATGTCCTCTCATTTCCCATCTACTGCACCTCTCTAGAAACACTCACCTCCTGACACACTGTGGATCTCAACCATTTCAGTGATGTTGTCACTAGCTCTCTGCAATCTTCAGGCGTCTTCTCTTTCACCTTACTAGCCTTGTCCAATCCGGTGAAATGTCCTAGGTTCAAAAGTGCAGAAACATATGAAATCACTAGTCACCTGGACAAGCCTATAGCTGGTCTTTAGCTATGGAGCATTGCTGGGGAAAGGTTCAATATACCCAGCTAACCTGAATGATTCCAAAATTCTCCAATTAAAAGAAATTATTTCTTCTGTTGAATTATCATAAAGTTTTATAATTGTCTTTTAGCACTTTTTTGTATTTTTGCACATATATTATCTCCCCTTCTAGACAAGTCTCCTTAAAGCTACTGTCTTATGCATTCTCATTCAACAGATATTTAACTCATATAGTTCCTTATATATTACTATCAGTCTACTACTAATAATAACAATAATGACATAAATACAGGGCTCTACAATTTTTCTTACAAATTTACAAACATTATCACATTTACATCTTATGCTAGTCTCATTACAAATACTCCTTGAGTGAGTTTGGTGGATTGTATTAGTGTTTAATGTATTTGCTGACTTCCCTAGAGAATTATCTTTCCCCACCCTAGTGATAGTGGGCTTGCCTGAGTGCTTGCAGGGCGGCTCTATAAGTGAGGATTGTACATTCCTGCATTTTGAAACCAGGATTGGCCAAGTGACCTGCTTTGGCCAATGAAATACGGGCTCAAGTAACACACTTCCAAGCAAAATCTTTAAAAGCAAGCTCATGGATTCCCACAGCTTTCCTTTCCTTCTGTCCTAAGACAGGCAATATCCTAAACAGAGTTTGTTCCATCAGTCTATATCATGGAGTAAAGTGACATTGACCTGAACCCATGCAGACCTGTGAATGACATGTGGCTAAGCAAAAAGCAAACCTTGGTCTTTTTAAACCAGTAAGATTTGAGAATTGCTTGTTACTGCAGCATTACTTAGTTTACTCAAATAGACATCAGAGATATTAATATTTTGCCTATCTTAAAAATGAATAAATGAATGGCCAGTCTAATGGTATGGAGAAAATTGGACATCAAGGCTATTTACTAATTGTACTTCCAGATTCAGTCGTCACATAACATGCGACCTTGATTAAATTGCCCATAGGTCCAGATGGGGCCACTCATGTTTCCCACTTCTCTACTTTACCCATATGCTCTAACAATTACTAAGGCAATGTCTTCTGTGAATTGCACACAAATTTTACCCACAAAATAAGCAGTAATTTCCTTGAAAAAGGAGTCAGGTCCCCATAAGAATTTAAGTGGCATATTTGCATTATTTTGTCAATAAAGATATAAAAACAGGTATAAATTTCTGGGCAATAATTTGAAGTTAACGTGAATTTAGTTGCATCTTTACTTTCCAGAATCAATACAAGCAGTCACTAGAGTACTAATGATTTAGTTAAGCCTGCTATCCCCCTACTTAGCCCATTTAAAATTTTCCCTTTTTCTTGATTTATTCCTCAGGTGGTAAAATCAAACTGCTCTAAAATATAACTATCACTTAAATTATTTGACAGAACAGCAGGTTAAAATAAGATCATAGTCACTATTCCTTTCTAAATTTCAAAAGCGTATTCCTTAATACCCAGTATCATAAAAGCTAGCAGTGATTCCCAGAACACATCTTCTCTTCCCACACACTCTCAGGCCAGCTTCTTTCTCTGAATCCAGAAAGATGAAATTAACTCACTTTGAAAGATCTCCATACCTGTCCCTGGTTCCTGGCAGTGATTCTCATGTTCACAACATGGAGTAACTCCCTTCGGGCAGCCAAACAGAGCTGCTGGAGGCAGATTATGGACCAAGGTCTAACCTGACCTATATTGCATCCTATTTTGACTTTCCCTTCGGTGCTTCACATCCTTATTAATCTCCAATGGGACATGTAAAAGGAACCTTATGAAGTTCCCAACCTATATTAATTCCAAGTTTACAATTTGTCACGAGTTATCCTAGAATTTAATCATACTTAAACAAGGAATGGCATTTGGGGATGCCCAAAAAGAAAGGAAGGGAAACAGGGAAGACATTTTTAGGGATCATGAAACTCTTTGTACATGAATGCTTTCCATAGGGTAGCCTTTTACAGGTTGATGGAATAGGAGGAGATGGAGCAATTGCTTTCCAGGCAGCAAGGACATAATCCTCCTGGAGAGGATTCTTGACTAAAAGCAACTGGTACCTATCCAAGTTCAATCTACTGAAAACACATTTATTAACTATTTTGCTGAACCCCAACTTTACCTGGCACTACCATCCATTAAAGCTGATTCACAGCAAGACCTAAAGTCCTCAACTTAGAGACCACTGGATGTGTTTAAAACAGAAGTGAAAATTCATAGGCACTGTGTTCTTCATAACTAGTGATGTCATTGACAGTATCTTTATTTCTAGACCTACCTGTGTCTCTTGAGTGATTTTGCAGCTCTTTGGAATACCCCTAAAGTAGCATGCTTGGTGATGTTGGTGATAAGATAGTTGCAATGGAATTCATGATCTCAGTTGTCCAGGAGAACATTTATTTGGGAAAACAGTTTTCATTATGGTGGCAGCCAGCCTCCACAATGGTCCCCAACAATCTCTGCCTCCTGGTATGCCTCTTTTGCCTCCTATTCATGCCCTGTGTACTCTCCCACATTGCATAGAACAGACTTGTATAACCAACGGGATGTTGCAGAAATGATAGTGTTTGACCTCCAAGGTAGGTCACAAAAGACATCAAGGCTTCCATCTCATTTTCTTAAATCACTCGATCTGGAGGAGGCTAGCCACCGTGTCACAAGGACATCCAAACAACCTTATAACGAAGTTTACATCATAAGGAACTAAGGCCTCCTACATGAGATAACTGCTTATTTTAAACACTAGGCTTGTGGGGAATTTGTTATGCAGCAATAGAAAACTAATGCAATTAACAATATAAAGATGACTTGCCAGGGTAGAAACACAGTATTTAGCCACCAAGTAAACACTCCAGACACAAATCGATTAGTAACAGAGAGCTCTATGTCTGCCCTATGTCTTCCCTATCCCGATTACAGTATCATCTGTTTTTTTAGCACTATAACAAAGTTCCTAAGTTTCTGCTCTAAACCTATAAAAATAAGCAGAAAGTTGAGTTGTGAGGACAAAGGTATTGATAGTGTTAAGTGCTAAAAATTAAAAAATAAAAAAAACAGACACAGGATCAAGCTTGAGTTGTTCTTAGTCCAGTTGGTGTGTGAAAGCCTTCCAAAACATAATGTATTTGCAAGGAACATGAATCAGAAATGAATATTCTATTTGTACTTCAAAGGACATTTGATGCTTTATCTTAATTTTACCAGATAAAGCCAGTGCTGGACTCTCCTTTCATCTTATTCCATATAGCCAATTGAATAAAAAGCCAGGTACGTGTTCCATGGACAAGAATTCTTTACACTGAAGGAAGCATGTTTATTTTCCTTACCAAAGATGAAACTAGAAATTTTTAGGCTTAAGAAAATTCTAAGAAGAACCTCCAAAAATCCCTAGGCTGAAGTTCAACCAAACACTTACTATTCCTCTTCATTAGTCCCACCTTGTCACTCCTGATTTGTTATTTCCTCTCCCAAGCCCCAACAGTGTTTGTGGCTCAAGTCTTCCAGACCCTAGGCCTTTCTTTCCCCAGAATCTATACCAGCAAGAATGTGGGAAAATATAAGAGGCATTTGAAGTTGCAGAGCCTGGCAAAACCTATTAAGGTTTCCCTGGCGTTGACATTTCCCCAAGATTCTATTCTGAGACTTTGATTCTTCTTTCTTTTTTACTTTTGATTTTTTAATTTTTTAATTTTTTTTTATTTCCATAGGTTTTTGAGGAACAGGTGGTATTCAGTTACATGATCTGAGTTCTTTAGTGGTGATTTGTGAGATTTTGGTGCACCCATCACCCGAGCAGTGTACAGTGAATCTGATTTGTAGTATTCTATCCCTCACCCCCCTCCCACCTTTTCCCCCGAGTCCCCAAAGTCTATTGTATCATTCTTATGCCTTTGCATCCTCATAGCTTAGCTCCCATGTATTAGTGAGAACATACAATGTATGGTTTTCCATTCCTGAGTTACTTCACTTAGAATAATGGTCTCCAATCCCATCCAGTTTGTTGAGAATGTCATTAATTCATTCCTTTTTATCGCTGAGTAGTATTCCGTGTGTGTGTGTGTGTGTACATACTACACACACACACAACACAGTTTATCCACTCATTAATTGATGAGCATCTGGGCTGGTTCCACATTTTTGGATTTTGGATTTTGTGAACTGTGCTGCTATAAACATGCATGTGCAAGTATCTTTTTCATACAATAACTTATTTTCCTCTGGGTAGATACCCTGTAGTGTGATTATTGGATCAAATGGTAGTTCTCTTTTTAGTGATTCTTCTTTTTTAACACACCTTCCTATTGGTGTCTCAGGTCCGGTACTGGTCTCTCTTCCCATTCTACTCTAGTGGTTCTTAAACTTCTCAGGGCAAAAGACCCCTCTGAGAGTCATGAAACCTTTGAACCATTATTTCCAGAAAAAAAATGAATATAAAACTTAAAATTTTCATACAAACTGTAAAGGTGCAGTACTCACTGAAGCCCATATGTGTACTCTCTGAGAATCTAGCTTAAAAGCCTCAGCAACAGATGTTTTCCCTGGATGATCTTAACTATCATCCGAGCTTCAATCATCATCCAAGTCTATTATTTCCAGCCCAGGCACCTGTCCTAAATCCTACAACCCTATCTCCAATAATCCACTGGACATTTTGACTTCGAAGGGCCATTCCCACTTCACACTACAAAGTCTCCTCCTTTTTATGCTCTCTGTTCAATAAATGGGATCGACATCCATTCAACCACTCAAATCAAAAAACTGGGAGTCATCTGGACGTGTCTCTTTTCTTCATTCCCTATATACAACTACTACTAGCCAATTCTGTCTTCTCAAATCCACCCTCTTTTTTCAATCTTCACTTGCCACATTTATAGTAATAAACTATAAACTGTGCTTCCTGCCTCCAGGAAGGAAGATCACCTTCCTTCACCTGA